AACCTGTAAGGCATAAGGCATGCGGAGGTGCCTTCATTTCCTCTGACAACAGAGCCTAACAGGGTATTAGTTACGCCTTGGACGGTAGCGGAATGTGTCATGAAAAAAAAAAAGGCCCCACAAAGATTTAGGAGCATTTGTGTGGCTCTGTGCAGGTTTCAGAGCAAGTCACTCTTTCATCTTTTCACTCAGCTCCATTTATTTCCATGCATGCTGCCTTTTTGATGTCTGCAATAACCCTTTAATTAAAGATAGAGAAGTAATTTTAAGGGTGAGGAAGCTGAGATTCAAGGAAGAAATATTGCCGGTGTCACTGAACCAATCAGAGGCAAATTAGATCCATCACCCTGGGCTGATGCTGCATTGTCTGCCACTCTGTCCACCAACCATGCTTTCTTGGGCCTTTGAAACTAAATGTTTTAAACGTTAAAATGAAATTTAAAACCTCCCAAATGCACTTGAAGGGTCAACTAATGTTTAATTTGTGTGTGTCTTTTCCATAAGTACATCTGTTACATAAGCTTCTAAGGCACTAATTTCATATATTGAAATATACTCAGGCACAATGAAAATCCCGGCGTGAGTCTGGAATTCGAGAACATTCTAAGTGCTGCCCTTGCCTCTTATCTGCAGTGAGTCCTACAGGGTTGAGGGATGAGAGAAGAGAAGCTGATGTCCTTAACCCTGGGATTACCACAAGTCCTGCTCAGGCAATTAGTGGCATCCTCAGGTCTCAAATCTTGATGTCTAGGGCCCAGCACTTCTTTATGGTTGGGCCGACCTCTGCACCACAGGGTGCTCAGCAGCATAGCAAGTGCCCCTTGCCTTCACCCTAAGTTGTATCAACCAGAAATATCTCCACATATTGCCAAGTGTCCCCTGGAGACAAAGTCACATGGGCAAGAACCACTCTCTGAGGCAGGTGACCCCATCTTTCAGTCACTGTCCACACACATGTGGTCCCTTACCCTGTTTCTCTGGAATGCATTGTTTTGATGAAAAATACAGAATGTGATCCAGCCACTGCTGTCCTCTGAGCTGACCATATGTGTGTCCCAGGCACTGTCAGAGCCCTCTGAAAGCACTGCATGAGCTGGTCCTTGCAATAATGCCATGAAGCAAGTATTATCATCATCTCATGTTACAGATGGGGAAACTGAGGCTTAGCAAACCTAAAACATCTCCCAGGCCCCTGGATGCTGAACAGCAGCAGCTCTTTGGGCTTAACTCTGGGCTGCCCCCACTGTGCAGAGGCTTGAAAGTGGACCTGAACCTGTGGCTTTCACTAGGACTGTCCAAGCATGACTGTAGAAACCATGTCTATGCATGTGTGTTAGTTTCATGGGCTGTAGGAAGTCCAGGCATGTGTGTGTGTGCTTGAGAACCGGTGTGAGAGAAGCAAATGCTCCGAGAAAGGGTGACAGAGGACCCACCCTCCTCTGCCACCCCAAATGCAAATCAGTCCTATGGACCCCAGCTGTGTGCAAGCAAGTTGGTTCCCTGTCAGACCTTATTCAAGAGTGTCCCCTCCTACATCAGATGTCTCTGGTACCCAAACTGTGGCATCCTGTGTGCCCTGCAGAAAGTCCCACAGGGGTACACAGAAGCTTTGCTTGAGAGATCCAGGCCTAAGGGAAGGAAGTATTTATTATATAAGGCATATCTTCTAAAGCATTTGTTCTTGAACTAAAATCCACACTTGTCCCTCCAGAAGGGATGTTGGAAGCCTCCTTGCTGTCTTCTCAGGCCACTCCATCCAGTGTAGGTTCTCAATGCCTCACGTCCCCCTGAGCTCTGGGACCCCATGCCTAGTGTGGAGGGAAGTCTCCCAGACCATCAACTACAGACTGTGTCCTTGGGCAAGAAGCCAATACAGCAGGGTCTCTTAGTCCTACTAAAATAGACAAGGCCCCTGAGCTGCTGCCTCAGCAGAGACCCCAAGAAGCCCCAGAAACAGTGACCTGGAAGTTCTTGATGCTCTGACAGATACGAACATGACATGGATGGGACTCATCCCATCCCTGTTAGACTCCTCAAAGAACCAAGGCCATTGAGCAGCCCATAGAGTCTGTTCCTTGGTGCAAAGTGTTTCACACATGGTATTCTCACACCACTACTTTCTTCTTTACTTACAAGACTCCCAGGTCACAATCAAAGTAAGTTGCCTACACACAGAGCCAGACAGAAGGTGTAAAATGTTGGCCCCTTGACAGTGGGTGCACTGGCGAGCACTGGCCTCCACTTCTATGACATCTCACCCAAGAGTGAGGGCATGCCGGGCACTGAAGGGAAAGGTTCTCTTCTCTGGGGTGGGGCGACTACACCAGGAAGTGCATCCAGGAAGTAAAGCCCACTTTTCACCCAGCTTTGAGTTCTCACTCTATGGGATCCCTCCTGGGGTCCAACACAATTGGTTGCTAAGGTGCTAAAGGCAATTTTACCACCTGGGGAGGCTGGGGGTGGATTTCAAGATCAGCTGTTGAAAAAGGGCACCAAAAGAATGACCCTGGAGTGGCAGCATTTCAGGCCCTGTAGTTGCTGGATTTGTGGAGGGCCAGAGGACCTCTGCAGTTCCCCTTTCTCCTCAAGCCCATCATGTCCACACCTGGTGAGGAACTCTTTCATCTCTTCCATGTCCATATCCATCAGATATGGGATAGAATCTATTTTTCCATATTAACGGGTGACCCTCTCCCTGTGGTACATTCTGCAACTCTTGACCTGTGCCTGTGATTCTCCGGAATCACCCCAGAAAAGTATGTTGCAGCCCAAATCAAAGCAAAGGCTGTGTAGTGCAAGTAACTAGAGGTTGACTGACACACCTTGGAGGCCTAGGAAGAACAAAGAAAGAGATTTCTAGAAGGAACAGAGAGCGCTTAATCACTGTGGTACCCCTGAGGTGGAGCCTGCTGCCTGGAGAGAGCAGACCCCAGAGATGTCTCAGGGGTCTGGGGCAGTGGAACCTCTGTGCCCTGGTCCCGTGGGGAGATGGAAACTCCCCCTCTTCTCAAAAGCAAAAGATGTGGGCTGGTGAACCTAGGTTCCATGCTTCATTTACCTTCTCTGCCCCTCCATACCTTAGCGTGGGAGGAAGGAGCTCAGTGACCGCCCTGGGCAGCAGGGTGTGAGGAATGGTGAGAAAGCAGAAAAGGCTGGGAAAACCCCAGGTTGCCCAGAGTCCCATGTGACAAGGAACAGCAGAAGCAGCCTCTTGAATAGGAGTGACACGGGAGACCTGCAAGAAGAACAAGCAGGCAGTGGACATCTCAGGTGTCAGTGAGGACAGATGGCCAGCAGTGTAACTGCCTATGACTTACCTGAAATTCTAAGTAAGTAGGGGATTTCTACACCAACTTGGATGGTGCCTCAAGGCAGGAATTAAGTTGAATTACTTTTTAGTGTTTTGCACAGCTGAGAGATTTATACCCATATACCCATCCCCATCACCTCGAGTTTAAGAGAAACCACGGAATTGATTTACATTGTCACAGACACATATCCAGTGGTAATTTTCCCAACGTTGCATTGCTGTTTTCCTCTTGTTCTTCCTTCATTCTGGCATTGCACCTATTATTTCACCTATTGTTATATTATCCCACTGTCTGTATCATGATTATCCAATCAGAATGGTATTTCAGTCAAGCACCTGAGGACCTACAGGTGCATCAAGCAGACATTAAAGATGTTATAGCCTTAGTGTCAAAATTCTGGGCCACGAAGCCTTTTGTAGGAAGTGAGCACCCTTCACAGCCGATGTGGTCTGTGTGTCCCTGGAGACCACTGGGACTGCCAGCTGTGAGTGGGGTGAGCCCATGTACACGGGGGTTTCCCTTCAGGGTAGCAGCTGCAGCTCTCGGGTGAGACCACACTTCTGGCTTGGTCCACCTTTGGGTTGGCCAGCAGCTCTCTTGCACATCTGCTCATCCAAGCTGGAGGTGGTAGGGGCAGCGTGGGGAAGACCTGCCTATCTCCATGGTTCTCACAGATCCATGTTAATGGGTAAGGGCAGGAATCAGCTGGACCTCGCTCACTGACAGCCTCAAGGGCATCCGGTTTCAGTTACCCACAGAATGAAAATATTGAAAGGAAATTCCAGATATAAACAATAAGTTTTAAATATATGGATTATTATTCTTATTATTAGTTGTTATTCTTTACTGTATCTAATATTTATCATAGGGATACATATAGAGAAAAATCATAGTAAATATTATTTCAGGTTTTAGGTATCTGCTGGAGTCTTCCTGGATAAGGGGGATGAGGACACTGTGTTTAGCTAGACTATTTTAAATGAGAAGCTTCTGTTGCCCTCTGGGGTGTCCTATAGAAAGACCCTTGGTAGAGATGGCTTAGGGACTGTGACATATGGCCTGGAAGTACGCAGATACTGAAATGAGGCCCTGACACGGGCCCTGACACCATCCTGGTGCACAGTGCATCAGCTGCCATCAAGCTCCATCTGCCATCTTCTCCCCCAAACGCATCATCAGCTGGAGACTTTCTAAGAAACAACAGAACATCCTCCACGTGCTCCAGGGTCTCTCCTTAGGCCTCCTGGCTTTAGCCTGGTGGCTCTTTCTTCAGACACATGTCTTCAGCTTGCCTACATAGGCCACACAAGTCCCTGCGTTAGTATGACACACGCCACTGAAACGCAAGCAAGCTTTTAAAACTGAGGCTCAGGTGCAGTTTTAGGAAACAAAGGTCTTTATTAGAAAAAATAACTTACAAATCCAGAGAACTCTTTTTGTGCACAGATTTGCAGCCTGGAACAGTTTTGCTTTGTTTTAAATGTCACTTTACAAATAACCAATGACACAAATTGCATTACAGAGCAGTTTTGTTCCATATCCTATACTGGTACAAACCACCACACAGACATAAAACTATTGTAAATAAAACATTTCAGCCCAAACTGGCATATATTTATTTATATATATATTTTATATATATATATATATATATAATTTCAAATCAGCTAACATTAATGTCATCCTTAGTCAAAACTGAAGTCAAACTAATCTTAAAACTACAAGGATCTGAGTATGTCAGCATTACACCTCCTGTACAATATTTAAAATATATTTAACTTTCAAATACATTTATAAGGTATACCAATAGTGAGAAAATAAAGTCTTAAAACTTAAATACAAATCATCATATAAAAAAAAAAATTCAGGAAACACAGAACTTTTTACTGTACAGATGTCCAGGCAAGTCTGTCCTGAATTCGGCTTCAACACACAGCACTGGCTGCTGTAAAGCTGTCAGAAGGCGCAGCCAGGTGACAGCCGGGTTGGCAGGAGAGAGAATGGATGCAGGATGACACACCTTGTCCTCTTCCTGTCACTCAAGCATTAAGATTTCTTCCAGAGACGGTGCAGCCCCATGCTCTGTGCCGACAAGCACACTTGTCCCCAAGCCTCTGCAGAGCGTGTCACTTAGTATTCTGCTCCAGTGCCGAGTACTCAGTCTCGGACACCCTGGAGGCGTCAATGAGCTTGGTGAGGCCCGTTTTGGCTGAGTACTTGAAGATGAAGGCCTTCATCAGCTCGTACCTATAGTTGCGGTTGATGAAACTGTAGAGCACGGGGTTGACACAGCAGTGCACCAGGGACAGGCACTGCGTGACATGCAGGGCCGTGAAGAGTGCATCTTCCAGCTGGCAGCTAAAAGGGACATAGTGCAGCACGGAGGCTATGTCCAGCAGCAACACCACATGGTATGGGAGCCAGCATACCAGGAAGACCACCACGTACGAGAAGACCATCTTCCGGCTACTGTGCTTCTCCTGGTCTCCCGACGCTGAGATGGCTCTGGCGAGCAGGAAGTAGAAGACAGCAATGATAGAGAAAGGAACGACAAAGCCCAGGATGACAGAGACCAGCTCCATGCCGATCAGCCACTCCTTGATGCTGTGCTCGGGGTAGAAGGGCCGGCAGTAGGTCTCGTTAGAAGCATACGTGATGGTCTTCAGGTAGTAGGTGTCAGGCAGGGACATGCAGAATGCCAGCAGCCACACCAGGACGCAGACAATACGTCGCACCATTTTCTTCCTGCAGCTTGAGGTGCTGCTGAAGTAAGTGATGGAGAGGTAGCGGTCCACGCTCATGCAGGTGAGGAAGAAGATGCTGCCGAAGAGGTTGATGGAGAAGATGAGGTGTGTGATCTTGCACGTGAGCTCCCCCATGGGCCACTGGTCATGCTGCACAATGCTGACCACCCAGACCGGGATGGTGATGACGACCCACAGGTCCGCGATGGCCAGGTTCAAGATGTAGCAGTGCGTGTCGTAGCCTGTGGTCTTGGCCTGGATGTTCACCCAGACCACCACAGAGTTGGCAATCATGCCAATCACGAAGATGAAAATGTAGACGAAGGACAGCGTGTAGAGCAGGACACTTTTGTTGGGCATGGCAGGGCACTGCACCATGTCGATGGGAATACAGTCGCTGCTGTTGCATGGCCAGTTGAGGTGGGAGTAGTTCCCCGGCTCTGCATAATCGAAGAGATGGAAATCCATGGTCCAGAGGGCAGTGATCAAAAGACCTGCAGCAAAACCAACCAGACAGAAAAGATGAAGGAGAGAGATCGCTTCATTAGGCAAAACTCAAGTTTCAGTCAAAATGCTTTTCCAGGGCCCTGACAATGCTCAGCTGTCTCGTTTAGCTCTGTGGTGTCTCCCCAAAGAAAGGAGGAAAGAGAACAACTGCAATAGAACTGTGCACAGCAAAATAAAACACACCCCATTCAGCTCTCATGGTTCTCTGGGAGAGAAGCAATGTCTGTTTTCTAAAGCTTTTCACGGCTGTGATCTGGAGACATCATCAGCCTGGCTGTGCCCAGAGTGTGAAATCAACATGGTACAGGGGCCAAAGAAACGTCAGGCAGCGCAGCCCGGCCACAGCAGTGCTGATGGCCTGCTCGTTCTCGGCAGGGAACCGTGGAGTCACTTTATGGCGTCCCCCAAGAACGGCAGGGTCAATCTGCTCCTGGCATGTTGTGTTACAACTGTCCTTCTTTGGCATCTTAATGGACAGCATTTCAAATCCTCCTCCAAATTTGCATTTAAAACATGACTCAGTGCTTTCTACCTTTCCACAAAGTTCTCTCTCATATAAACCTGGGTCTTTGGCCGCCCTCAGCTGGCAGTCATGAACGATACTTGAAAACCAGGCAGCATGAGTGGAAGGACCAGCCAACTGACTGTGCCCCAAATCTTCAGACTCAGGGTTTGCTGTGTGATTTTTCAAGTGAGGGCAACCAACCACCTATTTCAGGCCCTGGGCCTTCGCCTCGGTTTCCGTTCTTTTATTTGTTCAACTGCTTCAAGAGTGACCTATGCCAAGACCCAAAGCCCGGAAATCGCCACCTGCTGCCTTTCTGGAAGGCTGATGAGCCTGTCAACTGATTTCCCTGCTGACCTGACATGAGGCCAACACGACTCCAGTGTCACCATTTCACACCAGCGAGAACTGAGCCCCAGGGAGCACTGTGTCTGGGAGTGATTTCTCCACAGGCACTGCAGGAGTTGCCAGGAGCTGTTTTCTGCTGTCCATCGGTCTGTCCGCTGGGGCTACCGTCCTGCGTTGATTGTCACCCCCACCCAAACTGCATTACATGACTATGGGAAACATCACCTATGAATGTCGCCTAACACGGTCAAGTGTTTGTGTGTCTCACCTGTCACAGGCGACAACTGACCAGCAGTTAAGTTTACTTGCCAAGTTCACTCAGAGTAGACTCCAGGTTACACATGAGAACTACTTGCGGGAGAGGGGTTGTCGAGGACACTGATCAGTGGTCGGTGCCCAGGTGTCATGCCGAAGAGTCTGGTAACCATAGCCTGGCAGCCCTGGTTCCGAGATCAGACATACTGAGGTTGAAATTCTGGCTCTTCCGCTCACAGTGTTTAGCTTGAGACTAGTCAGTTCCCTATCTGTGTCTGCCACCCCAGGACAGCAGCACTTATCTCAGAGTTGCCTGAGGAACAAAGAGCCCTGGCTAGAATCTGATACACAGCAGGTGCTCGGTGAAACTTCACACCCCCATCCAAGAAAGAGTGCTGGGGAAGTCTCCAGCCAGAAGCGATAGGTTTCTCCCCTGACTGGCTGAGTAGTAAACATCCCATCGAGGGGGAGGGGAATCAGGAGCTCACAGGCCCAAGTACTTGGTTCAGTTTCTCCTTCAGGACATGAGGAGAATGCCTGAGAAAGGACAAGGAATCCCCAGAGACTCAAAACTCACAGCAGGTGGCCCTCTCCAGAATCCCAATTAAGACTGGCTGCGGGCTCTGGGCGGTTCCCCTCTGAGGGACAGAAAGGCTGACTGTTTCCCTGCTGGTGCCCTCACCAGCCTCAGTGTCCTCTACTGCTGAAGGTCTGGCCTCCTGTGGTGCTACTTCCTTTGTACACTCTCAAAGCCCTCTGTGGTGGGGACAGCTGACCATGCAGTCAGGAAGGTTGGCTGTCCTCAGCGCCATCCCAGCAGGACAACCCCAAAGACCTGAGACCACCGGCTTGGGAGACCTGACATAGGAGCACAGGAGGGCACCCACAAATTCTCAAGATAGAGCTCACAATGAACTCAGATTAGGGAGGCACTGGCCCTACCGCTCAGCTCAAATGACTCTGAGAGCACAGGGGCCCATGAAGGCTGCCACAGCACCTTCCAGAAGACTGGCCTCCTCAACCTGCCAGACCAGTCTACAGGCAGACGCCAGTCCCAAAATGCCTGGAAGCTGCTACTACACCCCCTGCCCCGCCAGTCACTCCATGTCCTGGCTTTGACGTTCCACTCTGCATCCATGAGTCCAGAGGAGCAAAGCAGGGATCTGTGCCACCCTTTTGTGTGACTCCAATGCAGGGACCCTTCTTTTTTTCCTGTTTCCTTAAAATGAAACACGTGTGCAGTATGGATTAGTTTATACAGCACTTTCTCTCCACAATCTCATCTGGCTTCTGAATCCCTGAAAAGCAGAAAAGCAGAGGTGGAGGACAAGCCACAGCCCCACAGCCAGGAGGGAGGGCCTCGGCACAGCCAGAGAGCTTGGGGCCTGAGGAAACAGCCCAGAGCCTCTGACAGTCTGAACATGGATCTTGAACCCACCCATTGTGCTCTCCATACTAGGGAGATACTTATCTGGCTTGAGCCTCCCTCCCTCCAGTGCATAGCCTCATCCTGGCCTCATCTTGGCCTCATTCTGTACTGACCATTCAGTGAGGACAGACCCATGCAGGGGCGGAGCACAGAGTGAGAACATGCCTGCCTCTCACAGCTCAAGAGGGTCCTTCTGCTTCTGTCCACTGTCCCCACAAAAATCAGCTAACACTCACCCCCTGTGGGCTTTCAGCCTCCATTGTCCTTAGATCCCAGAGTGGTGGTGGGCAACAGGAAGGGAACCCACACAGTCCTTTGGATTCTGACTCTGTTTCTGGGCAAAAACCATTGATTTCCTGATTGCCGGGCCCAGAGTCCCATGCATTATTTCTGGGATAGGCACATGAGACCCCAGTTACATCCTCTTTGGGGAGGGGAGGTGGCACCCTGAGGAACACCAGGCTCAGCTGTTATTGCCCCAGGCTGAAGGAAAGAGCTAAGGTCAGTGGCCCTCTGATCATCAATCACTGATAGCTCATCGCTAGTCCCTGCCCAAAGCTTGGTCCAGGCAGCTGGTCACACGCACTTGGGAGGACAGATGTAGCCAGAGACCAGCACCCCAACTTTCCCCTGGGACCCGAGTGAATGACTCCTTCCTGCCACAAGAGGCTCCAGTGTGGCACAAGGACATGGAGGGGAAGCTGAAGAGAAGGGAGAGAGGCAGGGCCACAAGCAGATACTCTAAAAGTTAAGCAGTCACTGAAGAAAACAAAAGCAGCAAGGCAAACACCACACAGTCAGTACAGTCGCCTAGCCTTTGGCCATCCTGGTATTTTCCACGCAGTAGGATTTAGAGACAAACAGGACTGTTTCCAGAAGAGAGAATATTACAGCGCAGTAAATCCCCTCATTCAAAGTAACTAGTTACTATGTGTCACATAAAGTGTGGTCTGCACCCACAGCCCACAGTGTGCAGACCATCCCTAAGGCCATTCCCTGATCTTATCTGTCCACCTCTGAAGCAAAGAACCTTCCTCAATTACCTGCGTGGGCCAGCAAGCGACGCTAGGAGTCCCTGACAGAAATAAAAGCATACTGGGGCAAACCAAGGGTCCCTGGATCCCACTAGCCTGGGACAAAGTCCCCCCCAAAATCTGAGAGTGGAGGCAGGGAGGAAGAGAGGAGGGGACTCTGCTGAACTCCCAGAGTGCCCTGTGCAGGGACCCCCATTCCCTCCAGCACACACAGGGGATTACCTGTCCAGTACATAAAGAGCAGACTGCATTCCACTCAAAGCTGGAAGGGGCCGGTCCCTGTTCCTTGAATACACACTTGGCTAGCATGACAGGTCTGTTTATGCTGGCAGGGGGTGAGGCTGATAATCAAGGAGACATGAAGGAGCCTTTCCCTTCCCCATCCCACTCAGACCAGTCCCCTGCTGCTGGAATTCACCACAGTTCTATTCCTGTCGGCTTGAAGCCAGAGTTAAAGAGAAACTGGTTGCAAACCTGTGCACTGTCTCCTCTCTGTGGGCTCAGTCAGTGCCCATGTGCCCACCATAGAGCAGGCAGGGGGATGAGGCCCACTGCAGACACTTAGGCTATAGTGAAGCCGCGTAAAGGATCCCAGGTGGGAGGAAAAAGGGCTCAGGATAACAGCTTTATCCAGCCCTATGATTTTATAAATTCACACGTCTCTCCTGGACGTAACTGCATGCCCCAAAATGTACACACAAGACGTTTACCGAAGCAGTATTTCTTTACTAGCAAAAACTGCAGGCAATAGAAGTGCCTAGCAGCACAGGACTGCTTCCATAAACAAAGAATGGTACAGCTACTGTCCGGAATATAATACAGCAATAAAAAGAGAAGGAACAAGGAAAGTTACGGCACAGAGGCAACTGAGAGCAACTGAGAGGCCCAGCATGATCCCGTCTCAAAGGAGAAAAGGCCGAAGTTGGTATTTTTATAGGCAAATATCTGCACAGAACAGCTCAATGGCAGTAACTGTGCAAATTTGGCCAGGGAGAGCAGAACGGGACTACAAAGTGAGCACTGTAGTTTTTAACTCCAGAAACATCTGTTTTATTTGCAATTTGACGTCAGGAATGATGCAAATTTTACTAGGGGGAGAAACAATCCACAAAACAACAAAGGTTCCTGCTTTATGTTTTTGGACTGCAGAGCCAAAAGCCCAGGCCCATGGTCTGTGAAGAGGCTTACGTATGACTCGTGATGGTGCCAGGGCCACTTTGTCCAGTGGAGGACTTTTCTGAGAGATGCGCCTCTTGCTTCTGGGTTTCTTATTCATCTCCCAAGTATCCCTGACGACATCCAGTGGCAACAGGCAGCCCACAGTATTCAGCTGCATCCAAACGCCTCTCCCGAGCTCATCCAGTGCGCTGGGGGCAGCACCAGAGTTAGAAGTCTCCAAGTTTAGAGTCTCTGAGGGGTGGTGGTTTGGCCTGCAGTTCCTTGTCCTTATCCCAGTTAGTTTTTTCGAGAGATTGCCAAGTGTGCTCAAGTGTCTGGTTAACTCTCACCAAGGCTGTCTCAACATGTCTGCCTTGTCTCATAGCAGACAGAAGACCCCTGGTCCTTCTGTTTCTCCTGCCTTCTCTCCTCTGCTCTGTGCAGCCCCACTCTGCACCACAGAGTTCCACCTTGGTCCTACTCAAGCCTGCACACCCCACTGTGTGCAGCAAAGGAGCAGAGTGACCAGCACATAGTAGGCATTCAATGAAGCAACAGTCACTCAAGCTCCAGTGAGGCCAGTGGCCTGACCAGCACTCACACTGGGCGTCAGAGACTCGCTGCAAACTTCGCTCATCTGGCGTTCATGGAGTCTCTTGCACACAGCACTGCTCTGAGGCAGGTGAGGGTAAGAACCAGGATCTCGTCCCTAAGAACCTGCCATTAATAGGGGTCAGGAGGCCTGGGCGAGGTGATAGGGGCCTTCAGCAGGAAAGGAGGGAGTACCGTGCCAGGGACATGGAGGGACCTTCAGAACAAGGGAGTGATCTAGAGACACAAAGAGGTCATGGCCAGAGTCACCAGCCTGGCTAAGTAAAAGACCTCTATAAGGGAGCAGAAGTAAAGGTTAGGCCTTAACATTTGGGCCACGTCAGGTCTGGTTTGTGTGCACAGGGCCCACAAATGTTTTGAGCAAGGAGTGACCTAGCGACAAGAGGCTTTTGAAGATGGAGGTAACACACAACCTTTGGTAGGGTGTGCCCTGATGGCTGGGTGCAGAGCAGTGTGACAGATCCCTCAGAGGGAGGACTCACTGCTCCCCAGTAGCCAGATAAGATAACTTGGAGCAGGCCCTGGGCACCCCCCCCGACCACTGCCATCTCTGAAACAAGGGGCCCTCTGGGCTCGGGCCTGTCAGGACCTGTGCCTCCACGTCACCTCCTTTGCCAGCTTTCTGTCTCTGGTGACCTCTGTCCCACAATGAAACTTCCTAGAGAAATTCAGTGTCGTCCCAACTCAAGAGCTGACCACCTGTCTGAGCACCTGGAACAGGCCAGGGCAGGTGAAGACCCTGGGTGACTAAGAATGAGGTCTGTCCACCCTTCAGCTGGTAAGAACCATGCACAGTAGCCCAGCCCTGGTCACAGGGCCACCTCTTCCACTTGGCCACCTATAAAGAACTCTAAGGCCCTTGCACATCAAGAAGGATGTTGTGATTTGTCGTTGCATTCCCTGGTGAGGACCCCAGGGAAGCATCCAGCTCAGGCAGCTCTCTGTGGCTATCTGCTAGGCCTGAGAGCAGAGTAGAATACAGTCCTCCCAGTGCCCAGCAAATGGGAAACAGTACAGTCTTTACACATTCATTGTGACCCTGTGTGATCTTTACTGTATGCAAGTAAGAAATTGCCTTGAATTGTATGAGAACTCAAAAAATAATAAACACACAGAGGAAAATCCACACCCCAATTCTGACACAGGCCACCTATTCCTGTGGCGTGCTTAGGCATACTCACACTAACACATGAACAGTTCATCCAGGGCACCTGGATGGGTAGAAGGAATGCCACAACCAGAAACCTTATCTGATCTATTGTGCTTGGCTGCCCATGGAAGCAAGGCTGGGCCCAGCAGAGCAGACACAGAGATACCACGTCACAAAGGCAGCTGTCTGGGTTGGCAGAATAGAATCAGAGCCTTCCTTCCCCTGTCCAGCTGGGGACCAGGAGTAGGGCAAGGCAGTGAGCAGTCAGCCTAGCTAGGAGAGCTTTCATGAGACACAACAGGGTTCCACAACAAGGCTCTGCTATCTTAGGGTCTTCTTAGAAAACTGAGAGAAGACATCCTCAGAGGAATGTGTGACAATATGAGAAGTACAGATACCAGCTAGCTGGATGACCCCACCTTTGAAATGCAGTCTCCCACACTGCCCAGGGCTCCTTTATCTGTCCCCAGGCCAGCAGTGGTTCAAGGCCATCTAAAATAATCTCAGCCCCTCCACCCTCTGAGCACAGGAACAAAACACAGTCCCCTTCCAGTTAGCTCTGCAAAACTGTTCCCATAAACTTGTGCAATCCCCTAGTCACTCGTATAAAGGAGGAGCAAAAGTTTGAGGAGGAGGTACTTTTGTTTGTCTTGTTCTTTTTACAGTTCTAAATTCATAGAGTCTAGGTTACAAAAGCATTCACTATTCCCTGCAGAAAACCATCAAGTATTCAAAATCAGGGGAGCCCCTCCATGCCGCCCTGCCCTGACCTGACCTGTCTCTCTTTCTCTCTTTCTCTTGGTTGCTTTCTCTCATTGTAAGAGAAAATATGTGTCCTGGAGCTACACCTTTCTTTTTGTGCACTTTAAGAACACTTGTCAAGACACAGTCCTCAGTTTCTTTATAAATTTTACCTACACATATGCAGTCTCTGTGCCCATTCCTAAAAGAAAAACCAAGTCCCTTGGCCGCCCAGTTTAAAAGTACAAATGCCTTCGGGTCCAAATTCCATTCATGTTCTGCAAAATCTCTGACAAAAATCTCAAGATCTGAAGCATTGAGGTCCTTTTTTTCCTCCGTGGTCACTCTGATGGCTTATAGTGTCTGCCGTTCAGCCTCAGGTTTCAGTAACTTTACCCAACTGCCCTGCGTAGCCTGGAAATCAGGAGCTCTCGGCCCCAGCCATCACACAAAAAGCCACTGTTCTGACTAAGAAGGGTTTTTGTGTTTTCTTTTCTTTTCTTTCTTTTTTCCCCCCACCTTTTTCATCCAGAAAGCTTATACTGGCCCATTCTGGGGCTGATGAGAAATCATTAATACATTCTGAACCCTCTAAGGACTGGCTGTGAACTTGGAAGAAAGTCACCTCCCACTCCCACTTAAGCACTGTGTGCTACCTTGGAACTTTTGGAAACTTTTTTTTTTTTAAATATGACTGCAATGCATACCCTTTAAATTTTTTAAATTAAAACAACAATAATAATAATAAATAATAAAAACCTGCCAGCCAGCAAAATGCAGTCAAGTCTCAGATCTGTACTGCCCTCACTCCCAAACCTCTCCCTCCCCCGCCTGTCCCCAGGAGGCTGGTGCTGAAGCTAGCAGTGTGAGCACATTCAAGTGTTTATGGCACAGACTGGGAAAAAGAGCAAATTGTTTCCAAGCTGGAGCTCCATGTGCAACTCTGCAAGAAAGACTTTGCATCTGGAGCAAGCTCCACTTCCAACCAGGGAAGAAGCAGCAGTTTATGCATTTATGCAAGTCCAGCCCAGAAATCAGAGCCCCACTCTCCTTTCTAGTCCTGCCTATCTGAGCTTCACGTTTTCCTGGACTTAAATAAAGGCACACAAAGGCGGCATCTGTGTGTTAAAAGAAAAGAAGAAAGTTACCACACTGGGGCTTTGCAGCCAGAGTGAGGTTCCAGGGATGTCACCGCCCAGACACTTTAAAGGGGCTGCAAAGCATTTAAGGAGGCTCCCACTTCGAAAAACTCATTAATCCTGTTGTAAGCAAATGAATGGAAGGAGAGAGAGAAGAGGAGAGGAGAGAAGAGGAAGAAAAGAAAGAGGAAGAGAGACAGCCAGTCTGACTTTTACAACTTCTCGCTCTCCCTAGAAGTTAGGAGTCACAGCTAGACATCCATCCCTGACCTCGCTCCAGTCGTCACTCTCTGCCACCCACGAATCTTCATGCATGCTGATGAAATCCAACAAAATTCACATTTTACCTGAAGAGTGTCGTTACGTTATAAAATACTAGACTTTTTTGTGCATGCTTTTTTTTTCCCATTTGAATTTGGACTTAACCCTTTCTAACAGAACAATCAGTACTGAAGTAGCAAGGACAAGATGAAGAGACAAGAAGCCAGGGTTTATTTAGCATTCACTTTTATAGCTTCCTGACTACAGGATCAATAATCCCCCACTCCCAGCACTGCGTTTAATATATTCTGTTTTCACAAAAGCCTCTCAGCCCAGTTTTCTAACTCACTGAAGGAAGTCTCTTAATAAATACATCTTTCTGGAATTGTGTATTTACAGCCAGTTCTGTCTCTCAATTGTTATACCAGAAGCAAAACAGGTTACGCAGTGATGCCACACTAATCCCTATGCCAACTCTGGGCCAGCAGGTCAGCCCATGTTCTTTGCGAAGTTGCCCAAGTACCCACAGCAGCAAACACCAGGTCCCCAAATCCGACAAACACACACACACACACAGAAATTTCCTCCCACAAGTACCAAGAAAAATTCCCTTTGACTTCTGCAGCCAGAGCCCGGCATTGGCACTGGGCATCGCAGGCATACAATGTGCACCCTGGGCTCTCAGAGCCAGATCTGTGTCAGCGATCAGAAAGAACACTCTGAAAAGGCTCGCTTAGCCCCAAAGCAGGAGCCCTCCTGCTTGCCCTCCTCTCCGCTGCTGCCCCAGCTCCGCTTCTTACCTCCGGGCTGGCTGGGCTGGGCTGGGCTTTGCCTTCCTGGCTGTGAGCTCGCTCTAGCTGCCTTGGTGCTGAGAGGTTTGTAGCAACTGTGAGCTCTGGGGCTGCAGACCTGCGTTATATACGCTGCAGGAAGACGCCTCTAGGTGGCAGCTTTGCAACCCTCATCTCTCCTCCTCTGCCCTCCCCACCAAGCATGCAGAACACACACACACACACACACACACACACACTCCTGCAAACCTTCACACACACACACACACACACACACACACACACACACACACACACACACACACACACACACACACTCCTGCAAACCTTGCTACTCTGTTTCCTGCTCAGGCACACTTGGGAAACCCCAGCCTCCCTTGGTTTGCAAAGTCTAATGAAACCGCAAGGTCTAGACCCCATGAGAGGAAATGTCAGCAGAAGAAAACCTAGTCCTGGTGCTTTGCAAAATCATCAAATATTTATCTGGTGCCAGGTATATCTTTAATAATCTCATTAGCACCAGGAGTCCTTTTGAATGACTCTAGCTCTAGGAAAGACTTTGTCCCAAGACAAATTACCCTGAACTTACGAACTTTGGTGTTGATTTATTAAGCCTGCTGTTTCATTGTTAATTCTTCCGAAACAGAAGTCACAGTTTTGGTATGAGCAATTAATCAGTCCTGCGCTATATACCCAGACGTGGGGAAAGCACCTTTAGAATAGATTTTCACTGATCCTTGGGAATCCATCTAGATGGTGTCCTACAGAGCCTGCCCAGTGCCAGACGTACACTAGGGTTAATCAGTGTCCTTGATAAGGTCCTCTCTCAGGCGAATTTAGCAAACACTGTAATTGTTATCACTATTTTATTATAATTAAAATCTACATTCTTATCTAGAAGCCTACTGCTAAAGTCAGGTCCACTGGGAAATTTAGACAAAAAAAAAATTAGCTATGCAATGTTCACTTCTAAGCTTCATTTAGTAAAATCAACCCTAAGACATGCCCCAAATTTACTTTAAAACCAAGCTACTATAACTCCTCACCACCGCCCCCCCCCACACACACACACAGCCCTGCCAGGTACAAGGCCAGCTTTATTTTTGCTTTCTGCCTCTCCTTCAGTTCTTTAAGTTCAGCTGAAGTGCACGATGTGTGTGCCCTTTCTCCTGAGCTGCAACTGTCTGAGGTTCTTTTATTCATCTGCTGGAAATAGCAACAGACAGCTAAATGCTGCATCTGGAGCACAGGAGGTCAGAGCCTCTTTGCTAGAAAGTGTGAGTGTGGAGAAAGCAACATTTAACAAAAGAAATTGTTTACATAAAAGCTTTGCACTTTTCTCCTGACCAGGCAGAATCCACTCAGTGGGAGAGCAAGGCACACACCTGCTTTCCCAAGGCCATGGGAGGGGTCTGTGGAGACAGCCACCCTGTCCCCGGGCGTCCAGCTCGGGGTGTGAGAGAACAGGCACCATCACTCTCTGTGCCAGGGGAAAGCTGCTCACACCCAGGGCGTAGGCGAGAACTGGACCCTCAACCAAAGGTTTCCAGCCCCCCCCACCCCCACCCCGGCTTGTCCTGGGGACTGTACCCCAGGCTGGTGGAGGTACAGCGACTGGCTGTCCTTCAAACAGCTCAGGGACGAGGCTAAACCAGCCAGGGATGTGAATCCCTCTGAACCAAGTGTCTCTTGCCTTGGTCACACAAACCTACACTTGCTACCATGGAAGAAAGCAAACACAAACTGGTTTTTGTTTTGTTCTCTTTCTTTCTTTCTTTTTTAAGCATTCACTTCAGCCCACAGCTGAATCTCCGTGGACACATCCAGTGCCCAGCCCTGCACCCAGCACCCAGCCCCGCACACGGTACCCAGCCCTGTGCCCAGTATCCAGTAGCACCCAGTCCCCTGATGGCATCCACACCGCGCCAGCGCCCAGTACCCAGCACCCAGTACCCAGCACCCAGCACCCAACACGCAGCCCCGCCCACACACAGCCCTCAACCAGCTCGTGGGTCCACTCACCGACCCTCACTCCAGAGGATTCGGTTCCACGGGTCCGCGCCCTCCAGCGGCCCCCACCTCCCCACTACCGCGGGGGCGATGGGTCTCGCAGAGACAGTGGCGCCCGCGGGGATGCGACCCCTGCCGCGGAAGGAGCTGGGCTCTCAGGCCTCCGCCTTCCCAGAAACAAGTCCTGAGGGAAATGAGAAAATAAGGCCCCACTGCCCCAGGGCCTCCGCCAGGATCCCCTTGGTAAAATCCCGCTTTATCAGAGCCCACGCGTTTGGCTCAGACAAAGTGCAAGCCCTTCCTAACGCCTCCTCTGCGTAGGACTGTGTCTGGTCACCCACAACAGGAAACTGAGAAGGCAGGAGCAGGTCGCTGTCCCCAGCTGACTCAGAGCATGGTGTACCTGGAAGCTACTGGACCCGAGTTCGGAGGGGCAGGGGGAAGGCGCCAGGAGAGGTCTCATCTCAGCCAAGCTCCGTGCCTCCCTATTTCCGGCACCTGACATTTGAGACCTGCATGGCCCTTGTGCCATCTAGGACATCAGTTTGCCTGGCGTTGTGGCCTATCCCCTCCTGCCTGAAACCCACTCACTTAAAACCCTGTGCTCTGCAGGGCCAGGGCAGGACCCGCTCCCAGCAAGCACAGAATTCAGGTGACAGGTACTGGTGACTGGGTGTGGCCCCAGAGATGCACTGGGCTGGCAGCCAGATGGCAGCCAGCCCTCGAGTTCCCACGGAGGAAAGGCCTTCATCATCCAGTGACCAGGCAGGCAGGAGCCTCTCCACTTTCTGATAGAGGGGACATTCCCCTGAATAATAAGGGCCTAGGGGTAAGGTGGGGTAAGGTTAGGAGACAGGGCTCCCCAGCCTGGCAGCTGTTCCCACAGATCTGGCTCCTCCCAAACTGAGTCCCTTTGAGTGCTACCTTCCTGTTCTAATAATTGCCATAGGGCCTTGCATTCTTGCTGGGTGCTTGCCAGTATTAAATGAGAGTCCCTTGAAGGTTCCAGAAGGTTCCAGAAGGCTCCTCCTCTTCCTTCCTCTGTCACTAGCCAAACTCCAAATAAGGACTCCTTTTTTTCCCTGGTGGGACTGGGGTTTGAACTCAGGACATAGTGCTTGCAAAGCAGGCACTCTACCACTTAAGCCATGCCTGCAGTCCATTTTGCTCTGGTTTTTTTTTTTTTTTTTGGAGTTGGGTTCTTGCAAATTAAACCTGGGCTGGCCTCAAACCACGATCCTCTCGATCTCAGCCTCCAAAGTAGCTGGGATTACAGTACGAGCCACCGCACTTGGTGCTACTCACTCTTTTGAATATGGCAGGATATTATCCTAAGCCTACCACACTTTATGAACTCTCCTGTAATCTTCAGAAAGGCCTTGTGGTCATAGCAAGGGTGAGCGCTCAATGTCTGCCATCTCTATATTATGTGTGTGGCCTGTATCCCTACATTTAATCTTCACAGCAGCCATAAAAGGTGGCACTGCTTTCATCCCACTTTTGTAAGGAGGACACTGAGGTCCAGAGAATAAGTAACCTGCCAGGGGTAACTGTAAGGGGTGGGGCATCCAAACCCAAGCCCGCCTGACTCTAGCATGTGCTTCCCTGGGGTACCACAGAGAAACAAAGCCCCAAAAGAGAAAACAATAGTGAATGTGTGTGTGTGGGGGGGTGTAGCTCAGTGGTTTAGCATGGGTTCACTCCATCCCCAGCCCAAATACAGGAGAAACAACAACAGCAAAGCCGCCCAGCCCAAGAAAGAAAGAAAAAGAAGGAAGGGAGGAAGGGAGGAAGGGATGGAGGAGGAAAGAAAGGTATCAGCTTCTAAAGCTGGTGTCCTAAAAGCAGTAAACTAAGAATTCAGGAATAGCTTATTTATTAGGGAAATGCCCCAGAAGAAGCTGGCAGGAAGGAGAGGGAGAGACACCAACTCAGCTTGGCCAAGTCCCTCACAGCCTCCTCTGTGTGGCCCTCTGGAGCCCAGGTGAGGGAGTCGAGTTGGCTAGTCCTACCCTTCAGCCACCCTTCAGAGCTGCTGGCAAGAGTGGCATGCCAGTCCCCAACACTTCCGTTTCCTCCCATGTGGGGAGACATCTCCAATAACCCTAGGCCAGACTCAGCCATGAGTGCCAATCCCTGTCTGGGGCTCAAGCCTACACACTAAAGCTGGAGGTGCACAGAAACTAAGGGGTCATGGGCACCTGGACCACCAGTGTCCACTGCCCTGGGCTTGTATGGCATCTAGTGTATGAGTTTTGACCAAAATAGCCGAGCGCAACAACTTGTTTCTACCTCAGGGCCTTTGTACCTGACATTCTTTCTTCCAGCAATTGCTAAATGGCTTCTTGTTATTCTGATGCAGATTTAAATACATTTCTTTAGAAATCTCATACACTGATACCCTCCAGCAAAATGTGGTGAGAGCCAGCTTTCTCTTTTTCTTTTTAAATTTCCTATTCATTGCAGTCCAAAGCATGGTTCCACTGAGCAGGCCCAGCATGAAGGTCGTAGCTTATGTGTCTCCTTCTGCAAGAGTGACAATGTCTGAACCAGTCTGCACAATGGCAGACAAGAGGCCCTATTGACCACATATCGGTGCAGCTCAGCGAGGTCAAATTGTTCGGTGGTACTCACACTGCCTTTCTGGTCCTCCCTTATTGTAGATGAGTCACAGATAACTGGCAGTCCACACTTTGAGTGGCCCTGCTGTGCCTGAGGGTGGGGCATGAATCAGCAAGACCACTTGGTGGAATTTACTGACGGGAACCTTCGCACACCCTTGGCCAGCAATTTCACCGCTGGGCACCCACCCATCTTAAAGGGGTACTGATGGCACAGAAGAAATGTGCAGGAGTATTGATTTATAGCAGGACTATCTGTAAGAGTCCCAATCTGAAAAGAGTCCCAGGTTACCAGAAAATAATATTATAGGCAATATCCTTTATGAACAGAGATGTGAAAATCCTTTATAAAATGCAAACCACTGCAGTAATGTATACAAGATGGCTAAGTGGGGTTATCATTTGAAAAATCAGTGTTACTAAAATTAATCAAATAAAGCACTTGACAAATG